GATGGACATTTCCAACACGAAGTCAAATGAGAATACCCAGAAGACAAGATCTAGGAGTTCATCTTGAAGAAATCTGTAAAATGATGAAGTTATTCTAAATATTATAACTGACAACAGGAATTCCATTCTGTATACCACTCATAGAGTTGTAAGATAAGTTATTTAGCCATAGACAGGGAAAAATAAGACAAGATTCCATGGCCACAAAAATTCTGTCTCATGGTTAGACTTTTATAAAACTCTTTGGCTATACCATGATACTCACAGATAACTCAGATCTCATTTGTAAAATGGAAGCAAAATCAGTAGATTAATAGATTAGAAAGGGGTTTAGCAAATATTCTTAACATCCACTCCCCTTAAGCGTTTTTTATTTATAAGCTCCATAGGCAATGAGTGATAAGAAGTAGCCACAGAAAAGCTATACCTTCTTAACTCCTATTTCTCATCTCACACTCTAATCGCAATCCATTTGGGGAAGGACAGATTTTGTGCAGTTTATATAGTATCTAAACCAATGAGGTTTTGGCCTAGAGCTTTAGGATCCTACATGCAATACATTCGCAGATGAGATGGCTCAACATGCTGACTGCTGCGGGAGGTTAATCTCAGTGTTCAAGACCAGCCTGATTGCCAGTGCGAGGGGCACTGGTGAACAGCAGGAGCAACAATCTGTGAATGACTCTGTACTGGGCTGTACTTAAGCACTCAGCATTATATTTGGCTTTTAGTGCAGGATGCATTGCCCCAACAGCATATCTCAGGCCCTAATGCAAAAAAAGGCAACAAGACAGATGGAAAATTACTATGGATTGGTTTTGGTCCAATGGGTGACCATAAGATCACACTAAAGATAACAAAACCAGGTGTAGAATCTGCCAGAGAGGTGAAGAATTAAAGTATATTTTTCAAAAGTACACCATAGGGCTCTGCAGCCTTGACCCCATTTTCAAAAGTAAATCTGTCACTCTCAGTTAAAACGCGGGCTTAAGTCACTCAAAATTGGTAGCGTGTTCCCTAGTCAGCTGGGTACATCTTCATATATTGTGTCACAGATTCCATGATTGTATATGTTTCTTAGGACTGCAGTAGAGGGCCATAGCTCAGTACGGAAATTAGTAATAATAAATGACCAAAATTAATGACAGAATAAAGTCTTCGGAGTTTGTATTACACTTTTCAACCATATTTACCCTTCTCCAGATTCCTGTCACCGACTTCCTACAAGGTATTACAGCTCCTCCTCTTCACTCTTCCAACTTTATCCAGACTTCACCCTACTTTATTCCCACTTCCTAGCTGCTTCATTCCTGCACCCACAGTGTGTCACATAAGCCATTGCCATGATCATATTTTCTACCAGTGCTAGAGAATACAGTGGTGAAATGCTGCACTCCACGAGGAAAGAAGGGCAGATATGGCGATTCTAAGTAAAAAGCTGACTTATTGATTCTCAGTTGGGAGGTAAACTTCCCTATCTTTATCCAAAAATTCCTATGTATATTGTCTATAAATTGAATCTAGAAAAACTATAAATAGGGATATTTGTTTTTACCTTGATTCTTCAGGATCGGAATTATAGTGATTTGGGGCTCCTCCTCTTTGACTGGTTACTGGCAAATCTGAAAGTTTCAGTGCTTCAGCTTCTGCCTGGATGAAAAGTTCTGGGTGTTTTTGAGAATTCTGATGAAACTGAAACTCAACACAAAAGTCTTCTTTTTTCTGGTCCAGAAAGTGTGTTTCTATTTGAAAACAGAAGCAGACATATTTTTTCATTTGGAGATTTCTTCTTCGAAAATGGCTTGCTATATTCTTATTTTTAGCAGAAAGGAGAAAGTACTCTAGTTTCCGATTCACAGCTTCCTCATCCCACTAAGGAATGAGAGCTGTGTTACCTAGAGCACAGATGTAGGACTTATGACCCATTTACTGGATTTTTCTCATGGAAACCTGAAAAAATCATCACCATTTCCTAATCTGTCTTCCCCTCAAACAACTGCTTAAAATAATACTGACCCTAGGAAATTATCTACCTATCTTTCGTAAAAATCAGCTCTACCCTAATGAAACATGATGAATTTCTCCTGTAGACAGGGCAATTTGCAGGTTGTGAACTAGATTCTTACTTATATTGAAGTCTTTTTCAAATCCATTTTGGCTACAAAAGGAGTATCAGCAAGCTGTAATGAGCAACAACAAATTTAAGACCTTATTATTCACTCCTGGAGAGCGTAAGGTAGAGGCTCATACAACTAAAGAACTTGAAGAATGCAAAGCACAAATTGTGCCAAAGGGAATAATTATCTGATTAAAATGGTGAGTGCGATAGGTAGCTCTCTTAAGCTTGGCTACTAGGTATTTTTAGGACATATTTCTGATATCAAGGTATTTAAATGAAAGAAAGATCTACATACCATGAATGTTCTTTCAGAAAGTATGAACAAGTAAGTTCAAATTATAGAACCATATTAAAAAATGAGTAGGAAGAAGCCTAAAAAAGCTGCAAATAGAAAAAAGTGCATATATTCTTCATTCTTTCATTTAGATTAGTAGAGAACAAACACTGGAGCTCGTCCTCATTTAATAAAGTTAGTGTTTCCAAACATTTTGGATAAATTATACAGTATACATTTTTTCTTTGATCCAACTTATTACTTCCTCCTCAAAAATACTAAGAAACTGTCTATACAGTTGCAATCATCTACAAATAGCCTGAAAATACACATCAATCAGTATCAAAGTATCATGCTGCACGTAAGACACAAAAGCACAGATTCCAAGTCAAAAATACTGAAGACTGTCTCTGAAATCTGTTGCAAGTGAGTCCTCTTCCCTTGAAGAAGGAAAGGCACAGCCAATGGCACAGGAAACATCCCCAGGGCACAGAGAGAGGACTTCTGGATTGGCTGGAGTCAGTTGAACAAGTTCCCATACAAAGCTATGCGTTACTACCTTGAGGAAAAAGTTATTGCACCCACTGCTTATCTGTACTCTCCTTACCTACTTCAGCACAAATCCACCTGAATCCACTCTCACCGTTCCTCTTAACTATTATAACTATTAACTGTAACACTGATTTTTGTACTAGAAGAACAACAGTCAACAGCACGTCAGGATCTTTGTTTCTGAGCCGTAATAAAGATGTGGGGACCATAATTTGACAAAAAATTCGTTAACAAATATAACCTAACGCCACTTTCAGTACTGTGATTGAAATGTGTTCCTTGGATCATTTCACAGCTGATGCAGAAACTGAACACAGCCCACAGCCATCCGGATTCTTTGAGCAAATGTACGCTGTTGTTCACCGGCTCAAAATCCTGCAGGTTTTTGAGCAGAAATTTCCTTTTAAATGCTGCTACATTTTAAAACTGGATTCAAACTCTTTCCCCTCCTTACAGTACATAGCAAGGATCTCTAAAGAAACAGACATTAAAAAATTCACTCTGTATACTCTAAGAACCTGCCCCAGCTTGGGAGTAGCAACACATAAGGGCAAAATTCGAATCCTCTTAAGCTAGTCTTAATTTCAATACCTGCAAAGCTTTTTCTAGGGAAGTATACACTTGGTTGAGATGTGTTTCCCGATTGAATTATATTATAAAGAACTGCGAATCAAACATCATCCTGTCCAGTTCTCCCATTTCAGATGCAGTGATCTGTATATATACAGTTGCAAGTTACACTCTCAGACTCTGAAGAGGAAGTGCAAGGCTTCACTTGCCAAAACAACTTTTTCTCCCCTTCTTCTCTAGGGCATCAACATTTTCTATAAGCCATACATATTTGAAGTGCCTCAGGTGAAGTGCGCTGCATTCTGTGAAAGAATTCAAGCACAACATATCTGTTGCAATAACCACTGACTGTATTGCCATGAACCTTTGTTCCTTGTTTAGCATTACTGCACTCTCCTTTGGCCCACACTATATGAAAGTTGGAGAAGAAAACCCTTCTCACTCCAGAACGCTGAGAAGATTAGATGACATTAGCTACCACAGTTACACTGGGACAAACAAAAAAAGAGATTCTATCCCTTTAGCATGAGAGTAATCAACTGAATAAGTTTTTCTTCTTTTCACAGTTCCTAGTTTTTGAATTTGCTGCTTTTAGTGTCAGCACTTCAAAAAACGTTCACAGAATCACAGAATGGTCAGGGTTGGAAGGGACCTCTGGAGATCATCTAGTCCAATCCCCCTGCCAGGGCAGGGTCACCTACAACAGGTTGCAGGACAGCGTCCAGGCGTGTTTTGAATGTCTCTAGAGTGGGAGACTCCACAACCTCTCTGGGCAGCCTGTGCCAGTGCTCTGCCACCCTCAAAGTAAAGAAGTTCCTCCTCATGTTTAGATGGAACTTCCTATATTCAAGTTTGTGCCTGTTACCTCTTGTCCTGTCACTGGGCACCACTGAAAAGGGACTGTTCCCATCCCCCTGGCACCCTCCCTTTAAGTATTTATAAGCATTAATACGATCCCCCCTCAGTCTTCTTTTCTCTAGACTAAAAAGACCCAAGTGCCTCAGCTTTTCCTCATAAGAGAGATGTTCCAGTCCCCTAATCATCTTTGTAGCCCTTTGCTGGACCCTCTGCAGCAGTTCCCTGTCCTTCTTGAACTGGGATAACACCACTTGGGTCCCCATGCCCTTGACCATCACCCCCAGAGCCATATAGTCACACTTAATACTTCCCAGGTCATCCCAACAGTACCACTGGTGCCTACACGGAAGAGCAGCAGGGGGTAACAGAGGGTTAGATGAGCCTCAGCAGACTCTCTGCAACATCCTGAATACGAGCTCTCAACAAGCAGCAAAGCTCTCAAGGTGACAGGTCAAGTCCAAGGCAGATTTTTTTTTTTTTTTAAGCAGAATGAAGTAAACATGTCTGCATGATGAGGTAAACATCTGCATTAGCAGCTGAACTTCAGGCTAAATGCTGAGGCCATGTCAAGATATGGATTTTTATGCATTCAACTGTAAGTTACAGCAGCTAGAAAAAAAAAGAATTTAGAATGAGACTAAACCGGTGTTGGCATTTATTAATGCTAATGCTGCTTCTTTAAGCAACTTACATTTGCAGCACACCTTTTCATCCAGACTGAATTCCCTCAAGCACATGGGTAAGACTAAGCAGCATCACAGCAAGCCTGTAAGTGTCATTCCAGGAAATGTTAGGCAAAACACAGAGGATCTGTTTTTTTCCCTGCTGGCTTTGTAAGAGAGAAGATGATGGCAGCCTCCGCCACTCAGAATTGGAAGCACTCTGCCCAAGGGCATTAAGATTAGAGGTTTTACTTGTTTAATAAAGTTGTAATGTATTTTTTTGGTCAACATGCTAAATCTGTCAGTAGAATGCTTTGGGGAAAACGTTTTGAACAGTGTCAGATCAACGGGTACAGCGATTTTTTTATTTTTAAAACCACTTTATTCTTCATAGAGCCCATGACCCCCACCCCAAGTTATTTAGGCCTTGGTACATGGTAGCTTGTCTTGCTGTTAAACTAAGTAGCTATATTAATCAATGCACTTCAGTGCTTTTCCTCATGCCTTTTGCAAATTGTATTGTGCACTAATTACCAATGCTGCAGAGATACACTGGGGAGTAAGTAGCATTTGCAATAATCACGCTGCACAAGGAACATCAGAGAAAGGGTAAAACAGCCTTGCAAGCTTTGGAATAAATGCTGTGGTTTTCATTAAGTGGTATCACCACCATTGATTCTGGTTCTTGAGTATACCAAACAACTTATTTTCTACATAAAATAGAAAAAGTTCAGTAGCCCAGATTAATATTTCACTGTAGGGAGAAGCTGAACAGCTGATCTTCTGTATGTATTTATCTTGAATGAATAGCTTGTTCACATTGAGGGAAAGAAAAGCAAATGTTAGGAAAAAGGAATATAAAGACACTAGAATTAAAGCTGGGAATTGATTGTGAGGGACATAAGGGAAAGATAATGCTGTCATGGCTTGAAATAGTAAAGGCAGAACAGAATTCAACGTTGTTAAGCTGGGAGTGGTTAAAAAGTCAAGTAAAAACATTGAACCTAACACAATTTGCAGGCAGCTGCTATTTCTCATAGCTTCCTCTTAGAAGTAGGGGATTGGATCTGAGATCAGGGGAAGCACAGCAGAGAATTCCATACCGACACATAATAAGGGAAGAAGTTTTGAAGATGTAAGTGCACAGAAGGTGCACATTCACCTGGAAGGCTAAAAAGGCAGTAGCTTCCCTTGTTATACCACTCAGCATATTCAGCAGTCCTATCGTCCAGCAGAAGCTGGGTGGGCAACTCTTTCCCCCTGTTCGTACTCTTGCAGCACCCCACTAGCCAAATTGCGCTCATCAGCTCAGAGGTTTGCAGGGAGTCTCCACGGAACAACAATAAAGGAAAACAAAAACCAACGGAATATGCACAGAGCACCACAAAATACACTGGTGGCTACAGATCTGCCTGCAGATGAGTATGGGGACATCGGAAGCCCTTGGTGCTCCAAACCAGCTTCAAGTGTAATAGTACTTACCGCTTGCTACCTATAGCTTCCCAGTATTTGTTTTAAGCTGGTCTGTAGCACAGACAGAATCACAGAATGGTCAGGGTTGGAAGGGACCTCTGGAGATCATCTAGTCCAACCCCACTGCCAGAGCAGGGTCACCTACAGCAGGTTGCACAGGACGGCGTCCAGGCGGGTTTTGAACGTCTCCAGAGTGGGAGACTCCACAACTTCTCTGGGCAGCCTGTGCCAGAC